TGTTTTCTTTTCATATGCGTTGTATTTGTGTCAGCTGAGGATCTGGCACATATTTTTCTAATAATTATGGCTAAAGTAAACACTAATGAGTGAAGAACTGGATGGGGAAGGGCTGTAGACTGGGAACTACGAACGAGAACGTGGCGATAGTTCAATATATATGATAGCTTTGTAAATGCCCTACGCCCCCTTCCCCCCGCCCCTCATTAAGGCGCTCCTGGGAAGTCTTTGGCGCGCTCACTTTGTTGGAGAGGATCACGAAGCGACTGTAGGCCGGGGTGAATCTGGTCGTCCGTGCTCTCTCATTGTTAGCGTGAGTCTGACCGAGGGAACAGATTACTATTTCAAGAGAAAACGAGAGATGGACAAGACAATCGTGATTCCACGCCGCCGCGCGCGGCATATTATGCGGCGGTTCGCGGCGAATTCTCGACGTGAATTAGTGGGTCGTGAGCAGCCTCCTATGAATTCAAGAAAGAAAGGCCTTTGTGACGGACTGTATCGTAAACTCCTACACCTTTACCACTCAAAATTCGAACGGCCAGGCAGGACAACTGGTCCGACGTCACTCGCCACGCCCCAGCGCGCCATACTACGATTGTCTTGTCGCATACCCTATTGTCGTTCTCGTGAAAGCGAAGGTTTCGTTATATTTGCAGTTCATTTTGTTTGACCTATTTAGTAGGTTCCTAATAGGTTAGAGCCCGGATATTTGACCGAAGGTGGCGCCTACTTATGCCGATCTGTTTTTCTACTGGATCAGCTGTTCGCGAGTTATTTGTGGATAGCGCTTCATCAGCTGGAGTGTAATCGAAACGTAGTGCAATCCTTTGTAAACAGATGTAGAAATGGTTGTTTTATCGATTCAATGTGGACTATTGCCATAATCATCTGACGTTCTTTTAGGCCCTTGACGATCGCGAATGCTATGACATCGGAATAATCGACAAGAGGAAATGGTAAGTTGAAGAGAGTCGTTTTTTATAGAGTTTCGGTTTCTTTTTATCCGCGATTCTTTTCATCATTTCATGCCTGTTTTCCGGATAGCTGAACCTGACCCTTTCATGGGCTTAATTCTTCTGATTTCTTCAACTTAACCCGACTGCCGTACAAATTTGATTTTCGCGATATGGGAAAATCAGGCACAACTGTATGCCTAATGCTATTTTTCACATGATACAGTTTTATCATAACGGGACGGTTGTTTGCTGGGTGAGGTTAAGTAGTTTCATTTTAACTCACCCTCTCTTTGGATGGTCGACCCGAACGACTCGTTCAAAATGCTCAGAATACCCTCTCTAAAATGGGCTATTTTTCACAACAGGGCGGAAGATGTATTCTTCGCCTTGGTAAGTGGTGTTAAACTAAGAACTGGATTCCATGTTAATGCGAGTACTTTCTATGCGCGATCGGCGCCGAGGATTCCCATCTGCGGCTGCGTTCGCTTCTGTATGATTGGAGCACTTTGAAACTGTAGCGCGCCGACGCGCATTATAGCCGTTTGAGCGCGTGGACGCGCGCCATCTTGAAGCCTGAACGCTGCCTCAGTTCAGACGTTTGCGGAACGGCCTCGACAATGATTTAAATTGCAGACTGAATGTGAAGTATGTACCATAACAAAATCGTCTGCTCACTGTCGCCTTCCAACGGAGTCAGCTTGTGGGCCTGCGGGCAGCGTGCACCGCCTTGGCTATGTGAGTTTTGATCATGAATTTGCTGAATTTTGCTTATTATTCTTTATTAGTTTGACCAACGCTTACGGACCACTTGCCACCTTCAGTGATCAGTAGTGCCATATAAGACATCAGAAAACAGACATCAGGTCTTCCAATTACCGCCAGACCCTATATTTTTCGTCCTTTATTCCTTCTGGGTCGACTACAAAACTACCTCGATAACTTTTGCGAATCCTACGCAATCCTTGCTGCATGCACTCCCGCATGCAGCAGTGGAACACTTCAAATCAAATGGTTCACACTGGGGTTGTTGATGAAAGAAAGTTCTGATAGTAGTGATAAAACCATTTGTTGCTGTTCATGGCACCCCTGTAAACAATCAGCACATATCACAGAACCAGTCGGATCGCCCGGCTGTCGCCGGGCGCTCCTCCTTCTGTGACATGGCCCGGCTTCGCCGGGCCATGCGGATTTGCCGCGTGCTAAGTTAAGGATCGTTGACCAACCACATCACTTCAGGACGATCAATATCTGTCATTTTGTACTGACCATTCCAGCCAAGAACTGAAAAGCAGCGCTTGTTCCGTCAAGGCGCAGAAGCAGCAGCAGCGCCCCCCCCCGCATCACAGAAGGAGGAAAGCCGGCCTTAGCCAGCGATCCGACTGGTACGTTCATAACCTACACGGAAATAGTGCAGCCTGTTTGGACAGCCACTGAAGCAGCCTATAATTTATGCAATCTCTGTCTTCCTAAAGCATCTTGCTTTGAATGCACTACCGCATTCAGCAGTGGAACCCTTTAAATGGCCCTCACTGAAGTTGCTGATGGAAGATAATTGTGGTAAGAGTGATAAAGTCAGTTGCTGCTGTTCATACATCCTACTATATATAATCCAAGCGCGTATCGAATAATATAATCCTGAAAAGCAGCGCTTTCATCCGTCAAGGCGCAGAAGCCCAGCTGCACGCGCCCCCCCCCGCACTCACAGAAGGAGGTAAGCCCTGGCCTGCAGGCAGCGATCGCGAGCTGGTTACGTTTCATAACCTACAGGGAAATAGTGCAGCCTGTTTGGACAGCCACTGAAACAGACTATAATTTATGCAATCTGTCTTCCTAAAGCATCTTGCTTTGGAATGCACTACCGCATTCAGCAGTGGAACCCTTTAAATGGCCCTCACTTGAAGTGTTTGGCGCGGAAGATAATTGTGGTAAGAGTGATAAAGTCACTTGCTGCTGTTCATAACATCTCTGTAAACAAACCACATGCATTGGGAATAGAGTTGGCTTAGCGGTCGACACGATGTCGGTTACTAGATAAGCCAGTGTAGGATGGAGTTCTGTTGGATCCTAGAGATCGGCTTTAATATCTTGAGTCATATACGATCAGCATGTTGTGTGTGACCGTGAAAGCGAATTTTTTCCATGCTACCTTTTCAATTATTAGCTTATCACTTCCGTACCCGCCAATAACACTCCCGTCCCGTATCACTATCATATCACCCTGTATCGCCTCTCGGATCAGAGGTCCCACTGTTGCTGTAACCTGCGTTACGAATCTGATGACCCTCCCCTTCCGTAGGCGCTTACCGTATCTTATCAACTGTTATCACTTTCTGTCGCCCGCCAATAATGTTCCCGTCCCACACCCTATATCACCTCACGGATCTGAGTTCCCACTGTTGCTGTAACCTGCGCCACGAATTTGATGACCCTCCTCTTCCGAGGCCCCTTATCGGATCTTATCAACTGTTATCAGCTTCTGCCAGCCCCACCCATATCAGTACTTGAAATCATGGTCCCGCCGTTGCTGCAACTTGCCACGAATTCGGTCACCCTCCCCTTTTAAGGCCCCTTATCGAATCTTATCAAGTGTTATCACCTCCTGTCACCCATCAAAAGTGTTCCCGTCCTGCCATGTATATCACTCCTTGAAATCACGGTCCCACACCTGCTGCAACTTGCGCTACGAATTCAGTCACCCTCCCCTTCTACGGCCCCTTATCGTATCTTATCAAGTGTTATCACCTCCTGACACCCACCAAAAGTGTTCCCGTCCTGCCATGTATATCACTTCTTGGAACTGTCATCCTATCTTTTCTGCGACGCTCGCTATGAATTTCGTGACAGACAGACAGACACACACAGACACACATAGCGGATTATATATAGTAGGATGCTGAGTTGGGCAGAAAGCTGACCTGAGCCGCGACTCGAACCCGCACCTTACGCCCGAAAGCGTGAGGTGCGGGTTCGAGTCCCGCTGGGGTCAGACTTTTGCCCATAACTCAGCATTCTTGTGATAACTTTCGGAAGCGCGAACTGCGGCGTTAAACAGCAGTTATCATAATAAAACAACACGAATTTGAAATTCACTTTAGCGGTCGTATGTGCGCGAGCACAAAAGATGTACCACTTTCACGGTTCAGAAAATGGGTTGTGACGAAGGCAATTCCCCGCCCAGTGCCGCTTATTCAGAGCGGCTGCCGACTGTTCCTGCTGGATATCAAACAAACACCGGGGCAAGCGCTGACCCGATGATGAGATTAGAAAACCGTTTATGGAAAACCTTCTGGAATTGGACTACGTAGGCTCAACCAGGTGCGGTGATAATACTGGCGCCCTCTCGAGGAATTTGATGACCAACGGGACGACATCTGCTACAGGTGGTAATAGAGTTATAGGTTGCAGGTGGTCGTACTCACAACAGGGCGAAGGCTGACAGAGAAATGAAAGCGTTATTTTTGTATTGCTATTTCCTCGGCCGTTTCCTCTCAGAAACTCATGGTTTGCACGTCGAAACTGCAATCTTCACGACTCTTCCCACTAACCTATGATCGCTGTGCTACTGCTTCCAGTGCACCTGGTATTAGGTGGAATTTTGCAGAATACGACCTCCCACTTTTTCCGGCGGTACCAGGTGCGACATTGTTCTCACATACTGCCCAAACACTTGACAACTTTTTCCAAAACTTCGTCTTGGGGGGGGATGGTGAGACATTTCTGAACAACCATTAAAAACAGTTTCGTGGCACTGCCAACTAGGGATTATATATGGCGCGCCAGAGACACAAAAATGAACAGCTGGAAACTCTTCGCAAGATGGGTACGCCCTCCCCCTTCCCTGAACCAATCCCCTTTATCAGCCAGTTACCCTGCTATTAATTCCCAAGAAATGTGTGCGTTCTTTCCAGGGATAGCGGCAGTTTGTCTGGAGAGGGGTGTGCTGACACCATCGTTTCTTCCCTGTGGTGTACCATGGCGGAAGGACCGCTAAAAATGGTGTGAAGTTTCAGGTCTATTCTGTCGATATTGAGCTTGAGCTGCATGTTAGAGAAGGCGTCAAGAAATGGAATAACGAAGGTTAAATTGAAGCAGGTTCCAAGGTGTGTTTAAGTTCATTTTTTCGAGATTTTGCGAGGCTTCCGTGGCCTATTTGGCTGTAGACCTCGATTGGTAATTAGGAACTTGATGGTATTCTGATAGTGTTTGAGAACTTTTGACTCGATATTGTTTCATGTCACGGGACATTTTTTTAAAGATTCATCGCATTTTGGGTTTTTCATGAAAAAACGGACGCAGTTCGCTTTAGGGGGAGGCACCCAATGGTATTTTCACAGGCAACCTTCAAAGATCCTGTAAACTCCTGTTACTAAAGTAGCTCACTTGTACCATTTCGAGCTTCATAGGACTTTACAGTTATCGCCAAAGTGAGATGTTAGTTTACGTGAAATAACATAAGCAGTTTGCGAAAGTGCAAAATGCCCCTCTGACCGCCCAAAAAGCGCTTTTATCAAGAACTGTTTTCTTCGCTGTGCTTAGTGCATCGGATTATTTCAGGTTCCTTGTTAATGCGTTCAATTTTATAAATAGAAATGGATTGATGCTCGAAGGACTGTTTCGGCGCGAAGGAAACGCGGCTCGTCTCAATCAGAACAATTATGTGGGTGTGAACTTTATATGGCTAAGAGTGATGTATTTAATAAATAACATCAAATCAAATCAGTGAATTTATAGGCTGTCTACTTGGGCGAGGCTCCTATACCCTCCACTTTCACCGTACATGATGTGTGTTCGATGGTGAAACGATTTTTCCGAGATCTAAAGAAACCGCTCCTTCCGAACGCCACTCTGCGGAAGGCTTTGTTGGAACTCGTTAAAAAGAATGAGGATGCTCCGGTGTGTGGCTTGAACAATTACATTACAATTTTACAACTAAATTTTCCGGCCAAGTTGTAGTATGGGGCCGCAGTCGCCAGCAGTCATTTTCTCCTTTTGGAAAGTGAGGCGAACCTTATGAAGTTCCCTTCTGCAAAGCTGTAGTATCTGATAGTACAAGAACATCGAAATGAGAAACAAACAGAGCATTGGGAAGAAGGATATTTGAAGGATGATCCCTTACTTGAAACTGGAATATTCTAGTAGAAATGGGATCAGTGTCCTTGGAAGAGATTACACTACCCAGGAGTTCTGTTCCCCTCTAGTTTCAGTAAACCCTTGCTACCTGTTGGGTGTTGCTCACAGTCTACGATCGGCGAAACAAGCGCATTTGCGAAAAGGTTCCGACAGGTATTCGATGAGGTGAATGAAGCGGACCGGGCAGGCGAATGCGGCGGACGCCCAGAAAGAGCTGTACGTAGTGCGGCGAAATCATTCCAATATGCCGACGTCACTGCCGCGAACTCCACATTCCTTGTTGTCGCGGAGCATAAACGCAGCCTAGCACGTAACTTGTCGTCATCATCAAAGAAAATGACTGCTGAACATTGCGTCTCAGGGCACTTGTCAACCGGAAGCCTCTCTTCTCTTTCCTTTTTTCTTCCTCCTTCCTTCTTTTCCTTCCTTCCTTCTCTGATCCCTCCTCCTTTACCTTCTCCCTTCAACTACTGGGCTAGTAGATGCCTCGAGAAAATACCCCTGGACCGCAGTTGCTACTCACATGGGACGGAGCCTTATATTCAGAGAACACACTGTCATTCAGAGACTGGATCTTTCCAGATAACGATCCACGACTTCAATTCGGTCTTTGAAGTTGGATTTGAGATGGCAAAGAGAAATTTGGATCGTGTTTTACCTGATGCTCATATGGGTACTCTTGGCTATCTAATGAGGCAGTTGTTAGGAGTGAGTTCCAGATTCTGTACAACCCAAGTTTCATATTCTGTGCAACCTGATCGAGAATAGTTTCGATTGTCTCTCGGTTCTTTTTGATAGCAATATTTAAGATATCTCGGCACTCCGACAAGCACCAAATGGATGCTGCGAATCTTGCAACGGTGTTTGCGCCGACCATTTTTCGCGATGAGAAAATAAGACGGAAAGATAGAAGAGGATCTCAGGTTTGTCTTTAAGCTGCTTCTTCACAGTTTCTCGGCGTGGTTAGGACAAGCGTATTCAGTTTCCCCCTATTTTCCACGAATTTCAACATAGCGGAACTGTAGCCAAACTAGCAGTAGCTTGTAAAAAGGCAACGACGAAAGGCAGCGTTCACAATTCGCGATGACGCGCTGCAACTCGACGCCTTACACTGCTATGATGTTCCAGTGCTACCGACGCGAACGCAGAGGGAGACGGGTAACAGTCGGCTCCGGCCGCTTTTGTTTTGAGCGAGTATGGGGTAGCAGGAGGGTAGGAGCTGCCTTAGCGCCTACGACGCGTCTTCGCGCAACGCGCGTTGTCGCAAAGCTCGAATAATGCTCGATTGCAGTAAAGATGTACGATACAGATACCGCAGTGGAGTGTCCCAGAACCGAGGGACAGTGCCAAACAAACAAGTTTTCCTTACCGAAGTGGTCATACAGGGAAATAAGGAGGCAAGTGGAATAAATCAGGGCATTCACGGGAGAAGAGTCAATGTGAGGCCTAATATTGGACAAACCTATAGCCAGGTGAAGGGTTGGAGAAAACAGATCTATTCAAAGTCAGTTGAAGAGTGACATGTCATCGAGTAACTGGATGGTAGAAGAAGAATTGGCGCAATTCCTATGCTAATGCTACCAGCCAGGACATGCCAGGGTCACGTCGTCGACGTAGTAAGTGGAAGGAAGTCCCGGGATAGGTTTGGTTGCGCGATCAGAGCGACTAAACCTGTGGAGCGCTGTCGTTTGTGCAGATCGTAAGTTTAGCGCTTCTCAGATGCCTAACGGTTGACACAGATAGTTCTTATCGCATGGTGAAATGGTCATGCGATTGGAGCGAGAATCGCGAAGTATGAACGCACTCCTACAATACACATGGTCATAGTAGTTGTTCGATGATCTCAAATATGTAACGTTTCATTTTTGCGACGCTGGGTTTCCGGAAGGCTAGTTTTGATGCACGCGCCAGCGCTGTTTCGCCACCAAATGTGCGTTTCTTCACTAATCCGAAGGATGGTTTGGCGCCGCCCAATGTCCACAGCCCCCGGCCAAGCCTCCCCACCCGCCTCTCCTGGAGCGCTCCGCGTTCGCAGCGAATGAGATTTTATGTAATTGTGTAGTAAACATTTAGGATGACCTTCTCACTGTTCTCCGAAGTGACACAAAGATGCAAATTGCTGCTGTACAACTTCTAATAGAACGAGCCAATTGGATAGGACTTCATCCAAATTGTTATGTGACAAGTGTACACCATCATAGAAGTAACTCTGCTGCAGCGTCTCCACGGTTATTCATTCCCATCCGTTTCGGAGAATCAAAATCTTCCTTTCAAGTGTCAAATGGTGTTTTTCAGACAACCATTCATGTCAGCTGCGGTGAGCTTGAAAGATCCATCAGAACGGAAACCCTCTTCTTCAAGACGGAATGACCTCACCGTTCCATCAGTTTCTCGACAGGAATCGTCCTTGAAAACTCAGATCGATGCTTTAAGACACCAGAAAGTTTTGTGTGAATGAAATTTCTAAAAGTTTTGGATTCTTCAGCCGTAAACAACCATGTTTAGTCATCAACTAAGCGGCGGTCATCGTCAGCATTCCGTGGAATTATTAATGGTATAGGTGACCGTATTCTAAGAAGGAGCCCGAGTAGAGAGCGCGGCAAGGCTGTAAGTTTCAGATTATTTACGGTAACTGCGGGAAGCCTTCAAAGTATCGCTCGCTGTGGATGATGGGGCTTGTCAAGACTGGTGATCGGGCTTCAGCGCGAACGCTAGCCCCATTTCTCTTTCTTTCATGGGAAGGAAGCGACAAGGCGGTATTACGTTCCCAGGTTTCGTTCCACAGGTTTATTCGTCGCTACCCGCTTCAGCTCAACTGGTGAAGCAACGAGCTGGCAGGCCGCAAATCAGCCTCACTGGCACGCCCCTTCATGCGCAAGACACAGGACTGTGTCCATTCTCATTTTATAATTTTAGACTAATCGTCGTCAAAGCTCACCTGCTATTGTGGTCGCAGGTGAAATACAACATCGTCCCCGATTACGCCACGACATCATCACGCGGTATATGCTGGGCAAGTTTCTCTGAGTCCAGCCTCCTCACAGCAGTTCAGTCAGCTGAAGCACTTGGTGTAAAGTTCCTTTTTCTGTCCGTGTGTTTATTCAAAATCTGAATCTGGTCCCCTTTTGGTCATGTACTTTAACCTTTTCTTTCTACTTTCCAACATTTAGGCCCACATTGCTCATGGACATGAGCCCCTACAATCATCCTCTACTCGTACATCTCGTAGTCGCCAGCCCGTTGCAATAACTTCAACCAGACCAGCGGCTCATCTAGCAGAGCACCAGGTAGCTTTTGCTCCTTTTTAAGTGTTCCAAGAAAAAAAAGCGCTGTTGTGACGCGATTCGGTACGTAATCTGCCATGGGGTAGATCGCGTGTCATTGACGTCACGCAACACGTCGATGACGTGTATTGAGACGTCATCGGCAGTGATGCGATGCAGGTTTCCTCGTCACGTGTTGCTTCATGCGTCATCTCACGAACTTGTAAAAGACACGTCGTCTCTTAACTCCTTACCCAGTTAGGCAGCGGCAAAAACAACTTTTTTTCGAAAACTCCGGCACACTCCACCGTAAGACATGCCCTTCGCAGCGAGCCCAGTGTGACCTCCTACTAAGGGCG